TTTACGTTATACATATGTCTATGTCTATGTATATTGATTAGTAAGTTAAGTGTATGTGTATATAGAGAGTTGAGTAGGAATATACATTCTCCCACATATTCTCTATTAATACTGATGGTGATGATGTCAGAAGAATATTTAAATAATTAGATCAATAATAGACAGCAGCTTCCTTCCAACACAACAGTCATTGGAGCATTATGCGTATATATTATATCAAGATGCAAAGAGAGATAATGTGACTACTACTTTAGGTCTACAGTAAAAGTATGGAACGAAATCAGTTGAAATGGAAAGCGAGGGAATTAAATCATAAAACAAAATGAAACAATTTTAAAAGTATATTCACTGACATTCGCTTAAAAATGTAACCATTAAAGCTGTTGGATAAACAGTGATGTCACGCATTGTAATTACTCAGACAGACAGACAGATATGCAGGCAGACAGACAGACAGACGCAAATAAAATCAACGTGGAACCTTCACACACAAGTTCATCGGTTCAATTTGCCACACTTCACAAAGCACAGGCGGTGATATCAAAGTAGACAAAGTTGTGTAGGAGAATAAAGAATCTGAAGATAACGGTTACTGAAAATATTTAAGCTTTAAAAGATATCAATGAAGGAATACGTCTGAGCTATTGTGACCAATTTCCTGTCATATCATCACTGATTCCCTTTGTCCCTCGGATCCCAGCCAAATAGACTACATCTTCAAACATGGATCATGCCAACAGTAAGAGACTTCATCGACTGGTGCTATGTTTTGGTCCGAAGACCCAGAACCCTCTTCCAACCTAATCTAGCTTTCCTTAGCATGGTACGTCGAGGTAGGCATACGCCATCTCAAAAGATGAAGGTTCACAACCTCATCAATCGAATCCCTTATCTTGCCTAGTATTCTTCGCCTGCCGTCAATATTGCTCACACAGTATTTCCACTAATGCTACGAACACACCTATGACCAAAACCGTGTAATCGCTTCATGTCTTCTACTTTTAAAGGCCGTATTTAACAACCATATAGTAGAACAAAAAGGTTTGCATTGCGGTATACTCATCCTTTGATAGATAGTCGAATATCTCGCCAGTTGGCGCCACAGGTGGTGCAACTTGGCAAATACCAAATGGGTCTTCTGTATCAAGTTGATGCAACTTTCCGAGTAAGTGAAGTGGTTAACACATTCCACCACTTTACTCCTTAGCTTTCAGCCAGAAGTAGTTGCAGCACTCCAGTCCTGGAGCACCATCTTATATTTGACAGATGCGAAATGCATACCAGCCGAACATATTCAGATGTTTGCTCAACGCGTTCACAAGACCCTGCATTACGTCAGTGTCTTCACCTAGCCTAACAGGACAATAACGTCCGCATACTGCAAATCAATCAGCTGACTTTCAGGGAGTACATTAAACCCTGTGAAGTCAGAGGTACCTAAGGTTATGTCCATTAGTACGTCTATAACGAGGTTAAATAGGAACAGTGACGGCGGGTATCCCTGGCAGACACCACTAGTTGTTGTCAATTCTGATGACAACTCTGCGTGAGTTCGAGTAGAGAGCTTTGATTAGCTTTATATACTTCCTTCGTACTCCCTTCACAGTAAGACACTGTCACAACACCTCACGGGCGACTGAGTCAAATGCCGCCTTCAGGTCAACAACTACGGAAAGTGTCGGCCAATGGTAAGTATGTCTGTATTCCAGATCCTGTAGAAGAGTAAAGATATGATCGATGTATCCTCATTTAAGTCCGAAATCTACCTGGTTTCTTCGAGTTTGTTGTTCACGAGCTCTAGCTAAGCATTGGATCACTTTGATCATGAGGATCTTGAAAGGGTGTCAATCAAACTGATTCCTCTATGGTTGTCAAAAAAGATTTCTTTCTTTCTTATAGGCTGGAATGATCAATGAAGTAAACCAATTCTATAACCACCTTGGATCCCTATACACTGCCTAGTACCTCCGTTATTCTAATCAGCGATTTCCTACCTCCAGCCTTGAAAACTGTCAATTCCGGCTGCTTTACACTATTTCGGGTTAGAATCAGCTTCCACAACTCGGATAAGAGTTGAAAGACCGACATCTACACCCCATTCAGGTTCAGGCTGGATGTTAAATACATGAAGAGTTGCTGTGGGTTGCTTGAACTATGCTTCAAAGTGTTCCGGTCAACTTCCTAGCCGTCTTTCCTGAGAGGTTGTCAGCGTCCTTCTCCCTTTCGGTGCTTTCACTAATCATTGTCTTCTTGTTGGTATCCTCAATAAGACTAATTAATTGGCGGGTATTACCTAATGCCAATGCCTTCTACATCTCTCTCGCTTTTCTTGCTAAATAGACAATCAAATAAGAACATCAGTTGCAGTTGTCAAACTTCACAACGGCACGGATAAATTGAGGAGAAAAGAAAATATACTAAATTAGATAAAAGTGTATGAAAAGAGAGAGAACAGAAGGAATTGATGTTAATAAAACGCTGGAAATTACGAAGACGATAAGAAACATGGTCGATTTTTTCAGTCATATCAATCTTGCCTTAATCTTAATTCCTGTTAACATCTTTCTTCTGTACTGTAGCGAAAGTATAGCAACATAAACTGACATCCAAATATGGAAACGATTCTCACCCCCGCCTCCGTCTCTCTCCTATCTGACTTTCCCTTAAAAATGAATCCAATTTAAGAAGGAAAACTGAGAAGAAAGTTTTTTTAAAAATAGAAACTGGTCAATCCTAGGATATGAACGATCAAAGCTTTTTGACAGATCGGTTTACCTGTGAACACACGCTACAAGTAATCAAATAGTAGTATAGACAAAACGAGAAAAGCACGAAAAACAGACAAGATTACGTCAAAATTTAGTACCAATAATAACTTCACACGAATATCATCATCGATTTGGTGTTCTTCATATGTTACCTCTAAATTATCCTGGTAGTAGTGTATAATAAAACTAAATACAGTCTACTTAATCCATACTCATTTCAAACCATGCAACGATGTATGTGACAACGAAGAAACCAGCTCGCCAAACCACACATATGTTATATGAATGGTTAACGGTGGTTGAACATATTACAACTATCCTGTTATATCTATCTTATTGACTAGCAGTGGAGCCCAGGATGAGCATTTCATCTTATTTAGGACTCGTCAGCCGGACGTACCTGGATTCCAATGAGTGATATTGTTCCCACTGACACTCGAAACCCAGTACTTATCGCTTCAAACCCCGAAACGTTATCCACTAGGCTACTGGGTCATTATATCTGCCTCTTATGCAGTGGGTATCACTTTTTGTTTTAAAGTCGAGCAATTCGGTTCTATACAGCAACGGGAATTTATAATTATGCTGTTCATTTAAAGAACGACAGTTGAAGTCAGTCAGTCAGTCAGTATCATGGGACATGGAGGGTGTTACTGAGTGACGGTTCAAGTTGCCATATCTCAATATTAGAACATAAAAGTTAAGGCACCAAGAAGAAAGATGGAGGAATAAGGAAGAAATAAGTGATGATTCAAGGAATTTCGTAAACAATGAATTAGTCAATATCAATGAAAACAGATTCAGAATTAGTTAAAATCCAACTTCATTTAACTTCACGAAAATTTGATGTGATCAATGATTGTGATTTTTCTGATTCATCGTTCAGGTGAGTTGGTAACCCTGATAAGGTCTGTCGTGTAAAGTGAGCTTAGTAAGCATATATTCACTGAACCGTATTCAGAAGCACTTCAAGTTGTCTCCGAGTTCTTTGTACATATTTTACCAACGAGTTTGATTTAAACTGGTAAACCTTATTTCACAGCTATCAAGCATACATTTGTGCCCTAAGATATGAGATATGCTTAATGTGTAACAGCTTGTCTGTTATCCGAATGAAGTGGCTTTAAAGCCACACCAGCAACAACTAAAATAACCAATCAGGTTTCGGCATTTTGACTGGAAAGGCAGTTTTTCATAAAATAGAGAACCATAATTGGTTGGCTCAGCACTTGTAAGGGTGATCTTTAGAGTCACTCTTAATGTCCCCCTTCGGATGCGGGATCAAAGTAGACACGAACGTAGATATGAATCCCAGCCCAGTTGATTAGACAACAAGCACCTAGACCAAAAAGATGCACCACTGTGGTGCTGACTATAGTGGAGATGAGGTGAAGTTGACCACGTGGTCTAATAACTCAGAGTTACGTTGAAGGCCACCCCAACAACTATTGAAACAGTATATAAAGTCTCAGTATTTTTGGCTAGGAAGTTAGATTTTCATATTTTATAAGAAAACTAAATTAGTTACCTAACCGGCTGTTAGGTTGGTCTTTAAATTCACTCCACAATTCAGGCTCAGTTTAAAGGCTACCCTAGCAACTAATGAGACAGCTAATTACATTATTTTATTTTATGGAAAAGTACTTTCCCAGGAGAAATACCGAGACCTGATTAGTCAGTTCTGCAGTTGCTGGGGTAGCCTTAAAGTCGCCTTACAATTCACCAAGGTTGTCATGGCAAACAATGCCTGCTATCGAGGTGGCTTCAAAGGCCATCTTAGCAAGTGATGAGAAAGTCGACTACATCCCTCTACTTTACGACAATGTGCTTTTCCAAGCGAAATACCAAAGTCTGATTTGTGTATTGAGTAGCTGCTAGGATGGCCTTTAAAGTCTCTCCTGCTGTTGACTTGTTGCAAGTGGGAAAACTGAAAAGTTTCTCACAGTATATACCAAAGTCCTGTTTCACTAACCATCGGTTCCAAGATTACTAGAAATGATTTGCAAAAATTTAGTGGTTTTAGCAACAAGCTAATAGCTTTTGGTAATCGTTCGAGCAAAATTAGGAAAACTAAGTAACATTATAGTGTGTAATTAAAATATTTTTCTAATAAATTGATTCTCTCTACAATGCACAAATTTTTCATGGATATAATTAAGTTAATAGCTCTTTAATACTGAACTCAATTGCAAGGCAATATCCCAATTTAATATCGAAGAAAACTAAACTTACCAATTTTTCACTTGACAGTACTTCAAGAAGACGGATAAGTGTAATTCCATCTCCAATATCCTTGAATAGATCATCAATACGTATTGGTTGTGGTAACTAGATGAACCAAAATTGTTAAAAAAAATTTTAAAAATGGTGTAGAATTTTAATGAAATAATTTAGAAAATCCACTCTGCCACCTTGTGCAGATTCATTTAATTGGCAATGAGCCACACCTGTTTTGTGTGAGGGTTAATGACACTGCCCAGCTGCCCGAACCTCGGTAGGCGGGATGGAGCTTGAACTCGTCACCCAATGGCTGATAGTCATCTCCCTAAACAACTGAGCCACAGTTCCACTTGGGATAATATACACATGAAGATAACAAGTTAATGATCAAATGGATCCAACAAATATTCATTCAATGTGCTGGGATTGTTGAAAATAGACAGAAGTCGAAGAAACAGCGGCAACCACTATTAGGAACCTGGAATTCCATTCCAACTAAAAGTGATATCGATTAGCACATAAATCATCGGCATTAATGCTGGGTTATATGGTCTGCAGAAAACCTCTTACAACCTCAGCGCAAATTTCTAAATCAACTACATGATAGTTGTGAATACTATGTAACAGTCAAATGTGCTCCAAATCAGCTGGATACAACGTTTTACAGATGTAAGCAAGGTAGATATTACAAGGGGATAATTCGGTCCAGAAAGTAGACATAACGTGAATCCCACCTTGTGTACATCCATGCAGTTGGTAATGAGCCCTACCTGTTTTGTGTGAGGGCTAGCGATACTATCTGGCTGCCCAAATCTAAGTAGATGAAGTGGGGCTGCAACTCGTGACCCATTAGTTGATAATCATCTCCTTAAACCAATAAACCACAGCTCCTTAGGCTCTCTTACTAACTATTGCCTCTAACAAGTTGCACTAAGCTCCATGCACTAAAATGTATTATTTCTACTGGGAATGGAACCACATAATCACTACATCTTCCTTTGATTTTATTTTCAAGAACATAAGTGTAGGCAGATCACTAAGTAAAGCGTAAATCGCTAGATAGGTGAAGGATGATTAATCTGGTAACAAAGATCTATCGAAACGTATGAGGGTAGGTGGTCAATAGAAGTTATCAAACAATAAGAAGATTTCAGACTATATGGATATGACTATCGTTACCGTTCATTAAAGTTTTACATTTATTCATGAAAGAGCTTATGCGGTGGACCTACCAAATAATACCATGTGACACTGGAAACAACACCCCTAATTGAATAATGTTTGTTTAACTGCACAAAGATAAGGTGTTGTGGTTCGTTGATCTACGGAGTTGACTTTCAACCGTTAGGTCGTCGGTTCGAACACCACTCTCCACCTACAAAGGTTTGGGCAGCAAGGTAGTATCAGTAGATGTGACTCATTAACTAATGCACGAATATGTACAACGTTGCTGAGTGGATTTCGATTTCCACACAAAGATAAAAAGAAATACGTCATATATATGATAATTGGTGTGAATTAAATTAACAGTATAAGATACTTGGCATGTAAGAACAGTGGCTCGACATAATGCCGAAAAATTGAACCAGAATGTTGTATGACCTTCATCAGTTCAATAGCGTATTCTCCATAGGTTGACTTTACAAAACCATTACATCCACCGAAGTCCAGAAAATATACCAATTAAAAGTTAAATTCCATTGGTGACTACAACAACTACTTAACCCTTAAAGGCACAGAAATATTGCAATTGAAGTGTATCAATCCACACCACTATGAATGACAGTAAAATAGATATACCTTGCTGATGAGTGCCGACAAGTACGAAACCTAAGTCCAGAGTATCCTACCGATTGCCTCCAACCATCTAGCACAGTTAAACAGTATTCACTAATGATATTCATGCACTGCTAAAATTTCGGACACTTCAACATGTTTAGAAAACACGAAAAAAATATAAAAACCATGACACGACACACAAAAGATATCGTTTTAACACAACATCAGATCAGATAACTACAAAACAAGTCAAAAAAGTGCTAATACAGTTAATAACGCTTCATACAGTATTCATCTAGAACGTCAGTCTAGAAGAAATCAAATCAGAATTGTGGATTTCCAAATCTACTCCATAAGGATTTCCTGACAGTTCATGAGGCAATATGAATCTAGAGACAACAAGTGACTTCTTCTACGGCACAGGGTTGGATTGTGACATACAAACGATAACAGAAGCTAACAGTTCATGAGTAACGTTATTCATATTCACGCCTGAGTTGGGTAAACTACTGCGGTGCGCAACCCATCCACAGATTCCTTCGGCCAGAATCAGAAATAAGTTAATAGCAGTTTAAAAGTAGAGAACACTCACACTCGAAATTTAAGTTATTCAAAATCTCGCAAAGGGCCTAGAAACGAACTGATTGAATAAAGATACAGAAAAAAAAACAACTGACTAGTTTGTCACATTGACTAACAAAAAACAGACCAAATTTATTACTTAGTATTTTATTTGTTATTTGGGTTCACAACGGAACATAGGGCTTCAGTAGCACGTCACTATTTCACTCAGTTCACTACAGTCTTTTCAACCTGGCTCCACCACTGCCTACAACATTTCATTTCCTCCTCACACCATCTCCTCCATGTCATCCTCAGACACTCAATTAGTGCTGAAAATTCGGATACTGTTCACGCTTTATGCTGAGTGCAGTGCAGTGCAATGCAATGCAATGCATCGCATCTCATTGCATTGCAGTAGATCTCCACACTGATTATTTCAGATTAATGAAGGCCTTTCCTACTGTCTTTCCCATCCCGGATTGGACGTCTTCATCTGTGTCGTCACCACATGTAGTTGAAATGATGCTGCTCTGTCTAGGTAAGTGTAGGTGAAAGAGACTACTTCCTTTACGTATCTCCCGTTCATGGTGATTCATGCTTGTTGTTGATGCTGTTGTTGGTTGAATATCTTCATCACCTCCGTCTTCTCTATACTCACCTGAAGTCCCGTCTTCGCTGCCCAGCCTCTTCTGTCAACTTGTTGGTTTTCGCCTGTAGATCTTCGAGTTTGTGCCACAAACATTAGACATAAATCATCATCGGCGAAATCTAGATGTGGGATATTTCCATCGATCCAGCCTGCGTAGCCCCATCTTTTCGCTCTTCACGGTTGTCTGTTGCATGATCCAGTCCAGTCCAGTCGACCACAATCAGGAAGATCATCGGTGATAGTAGGCGCCGATCTTGTCTTACTCCTTCCTGTCTTCACTTCACAGGCATCACTGAGCTTTCCATTGTCAATCACTTTTATCGAGAAGTAGTATTACTTTCTTGTGTCCTTAGGATTAGAGTGTAGGCGTATCTAGTTTGATTTCGTTTACAAACTGGATGAATCTCTATTGAATCCATGATGCGTAACATATACTTCTTTCGTTAGTATAACCAATGTGATAGTAATTTAATCGGTAACCAATTTTGCGCTATCTAGTCTTATTGTAGGAAACGACAAGAAGGAGACGAAGGAAGGAATGTTTATTATTGACATGTTGTACAATAGTCATCAAATATTGTACACATTCCACCAAAACAGTCACTTGCATAATATGCTTTATTTCCTCTTCTGCTTCTATCTTCATTTGCTCTTAATACGCCCACATGCTCTCTTGCATTTCTCTTTCGGAAGAATTTTTACCCATTGCTATAAATTGTCTATGATTCCGGTCACCGTCTCAACACTTACTATTTATTTCCATCCTGATCAACGGCGCCCACTACATTATGTGCCGCCCGAATTCTACCAATTATTTTTGCTATGTATAGCTACCAAACTGGGAAACTTGTCATAGCAGGGGACTTAGAAGGGTGTTAGTTGGATGGAGGCAATCAACAAGAAGCCCTATTCGACTTAGGTTTCGTGCATGTTGGCACTCGTCAGTGAGAGGTGTCTGTAACGTATGATAATGATCGAATGTACACGGCATGTTAGTAAATAGATTTAGTTATAGGATTCAGACTGTAGAAATTTGCGTTCATAGGGTTTTTTTAGACATAATACTCGACCTATATAGGAGACTAGGTCAAATAACATAACAATCATGTCATTTGGATAACTGCTTTCCTGTTTTGTTTATTTATTTTGTGAGAGGACAGTAGAATTTTTATTGGGATTTTAAAGCTATCTCTCAAGGTGTAATACTGAAAATACTGACCCCATCTGAAAAACTGAGTTGTGACCCACTGACTTTGAGGGTTGACTTTCAACCAGTGGGTTGTGGGTTGGAACACTGACCCCCCCCCCCCAATTATCGAGGTTTGGGCAGTCAGTCAGTATCAATAGGTCTCACACAATAGGTATAGCTCATTGCCTACTGCACGAATGTGTATAAGGTTGCTGAGTGATTTCGATGGAGTGTTAGTATATGGCAGTTTCATTTATGAATATTGGAAGAGGCTGACGGTGTGTGTGTGGGGGGGGAAGTTCTTGTTATACTGTTTAGTTTATTTCATTAGATCGTGACTCAGTTAGGGAACAAATTGTCTCTGTGAAAAAATTTTGTATTTAAGCATTCCAACTAACTTTAAAAGGAGGGAAATAACTGGTCGAAAAACAGGCTACAGATACACTAAGGGATATTTCGTATAAAAATAAAATAGACCCTGGTGAATGGAAGGTTAGTGATCGGCTGATGATGGTTCACTGATTATTCAGGTTTGTAGTGTATAAGTGAAACATAAATAAGGTAAATGTGCTAATCATATTTAACATCCTAATGATTAATATTGCAACTTGCCATTTCTCTTTGGTTAGGGTTAGGGCGCCGCACATAGGCGCCTCCTATGCAGTTGACTCTTTATAGCCAGTGATTTCATTTGGTATTAAGGATGGACAATGGCTACCAGTGGAATCCAGGCCACTCATTTCCGTCCTATTTGAGACTCATCAGCTGGGTGTACCTGCTTCATAGTGATGATGTACCCATTGGGACTCGAACTCAGTGCCCATCGTTTCAATAGCTTTAGCGTTATCACTCAACTACTGCATTATTCAGTGACCTTAGGAATCTATGTGAGAGTGATGATCACAACAACTATTTAGTGTTCTCCGAGCTTTACGGTATGTTCGTCAACGTATCATCATCAGGTTAGGTGAGTTCATCAGCGTCAACAAACGTAGAGTTGACCTTAATCTCAAAAAAGTTGGATTGGTCTCCGTCGACAGACAATTTACAGCTTGCTAGAAGTTTCCCAGGCACTTCAAACTTTACTCTTCAGGAGAGGCTGGGGATGCCGATCGACGTCTTCTCTAAGTCTATTTCACAACACTACAAGACTAGATGTTAGAGTTACTAAGATATATGACAAGTCTATGTTTGTTTCGAAGTCTACCGCATGCAATAGATTCACCGTATCTATTTTTACAACCCATCACATTTTTAAAAATTACTTGTTTTAATTACAATCTGCCTAAAAGGCGGAAAATCAGCAGGACAAGATGGAATTCCGCCAGGAGCACTGAAAACGGACGCAGAGACATCAGAGGCATGCTCACACCACTACTGCAGAAGGTTTGTAAAAAAAAGGAAAGGTATCTGCAGATTGGGGGAAGGGCTACCTTGTCAAACTTCCAAAAAGGGGAGATCTAAGTCTTTGCAAGAACTGGCGAGGAATCACGCTCCATCGCTGTCCACCCCAAGCAAAATATTAAGCATTCAAAATTATCACAGGAACAGGCTGGTTGGCTTCAGGAAAAACAAATCATGTGCGGATCAAATTGAAACGCTACTCTACGCACCATCACAGATCAGAGCATAGAATGGCAGTCAACTCTGCAACTCATCTCAACTTCATCCACTTTGAAAAGGCCCTCCTTCGATGGTGTCGACCGAGAAGTAATTTGACAGCTAGCTCAACCCTACGGAGTGCGACAAATTTCTATCAACCTCATTCAACAGCTATATCATGATGACGATACATGCCAAGTGATTGACAATGGAAAGCTCAGTGATGCCTGTGAAGTGAAGACAGGAAGGAGTAAGACAAGATCGGCGCCTACTATCACCGATGATCTTCCTGATTGTGGTCGACTGGACTGGACTGGATCATGCAACAGACAACCGTGAAGAGCGAAAAGATGGGGCTACGCAGGCTGGATCGATGGAAATATCCCACATCTAGATTTCGCCGATGATGATTTATGTCTAATGTCTTGTGGCACAAACTCGAAGATCTACAGGCGAAAACCAACAAGTTGACAGAAGAGGCTGGGCAGCGAAGACGGGACTTCAGGTGAGTATAGAGAAGACGGAGGTGATGAAGATATTCAACCAACAACAGCATCAACAACAAGCATGAATCACCATGAACGGGAGATACGTAAAGGAAGTAGTCTCTTTCACCTACACTTACCTAGACAGAGCAGCATCATTTCAACTACATGTGGTGACGACACAGATGAAGACGTCCAATCCGGGATGGGAAAGACAGTAGGAAAGGCCTTCATTAATCTGAAATAATCAGTGTGGAGATCTACTGCAATGCAATGAGATGCGATGCATTGCATTGCACTGCACTGCACTGCACTCAGCATAAAGCGTGAACAGTATCCGAATTTTCAGCACTAATTGAGTGTCTGAGGATGACATGGAGGAGATGGTGTGAGGAGGAAATGAAATGTTGTAGGCAGTGGTGGAGCCAGGTTGAAAAGACTGTAGTGAACTGAGTGAAATGGTGACGTGCTACTGAAGCCGTATATTTCGTTAGGTTCCCAGAGGACAAATACGAATGATAGTAAAATTTCTCGATAAAGTAATGCATACGTGAAGTTACAAAGAATTTCAAAAACCAAGTATACATTCTTGCAGTATGCAATAAGCTGCACCTCTTGTATAGGGGCTAGTGACCCTACGTTGCTGCCCAAACCTCCGTAGGTGGAGTGGGGCTCAAACCCATGATCCGTTTGGTTTATAGTCAAATCTTCCTAAACCACTGAGCCAGATCTCCTTCATAAAACCTAGGTTAAGTAGGGCTTGCAGCCGATCGCCTCCAACGAACTAAGACAAAATAGTACTATCTTCAACACAAAAAGTAAAAGAAACTTTGAAACGCATAGTAACATACCTTTTGCAAATGTGCATTGACCCAATTAGTGAAAGTTTTCTTCTGTACACGCTGTTGTTCATCTACAAATATACAAGTAAGAATTTTAAGGCTATGAATAATAGAAAAATGTTAAGCGTGTTTTTTACGGATAAATATGAGCTCATATTATGCAAGGTTAATGGGCGGAAGAGGAAAAGAATAAATGATACTGCTGCGATTGGGCCTTTGGATCCCTGATGCAGTATCTCTTCCTTGTAATGACTTCAGAACGCTGCATATGTTCTATTTGCGGTTGATTAATGCACATATGAAGAATTAACATCTGTTGGCATTATTCCTACGATCTAGCCAAATTTATGCGTTCCAATGCAAAGAGATTTGGAAAAGTCAACAATAATAAAAAATCAGGAGACCACCTAAATTACTCCAAAGCAATTAGACTATCTGCTTTAAGTTGATCAATAGTATACCAGTATGCTGAATTCATTCACTATAATAATAGCAAGTTACAGGAGGCTTTCATATAAGATTATGCATAAATTTGGAAAATAAAATACGTTAAACTTGTTTTCAAAACCAGTTTTTTCGAAATAATTTCCATCACAAATTCAAATCATCTACAGAACTGTTGAAAACCAAAGGATACTTAATGTCGACATACACTGGTAAGCAGTTGTTTATCAGTTGTGACCAAGTAAATAATAATGAATAATATGATGTTATTTTGGAACACGCTTGGTTCATCCATAATATTCTTCACTGTCTACTGAGCACAATACAACTATGCTGATCCACCGACATAGAACCAAATAACTCGGTGTGTATTTAGAAGATAGATGTATAGACAGATTTGTTCTATTTAAGTTAACATCCATCATCACAGACTGACATCGATTGGAGAACCATTGAAAACTAGGGAGCACTGGACAGCTGTTTCGTCCTAGTATGGGACTTCTCAGAGGTCACCATCCAGGACCCGGGTTAAACATCTATCCTGGTTTGAAATTCTTGTTGATCCGGATATTTAAATACTGCTACTATTATATCTTCTAAAGAATAGTGTAGCACAGATATCAAGTTACATACAACAAGTATTAAACTTACTAAGGACATTAGAATGAATATTATTTCCTGTTGATTTCGGGATAGAAACTTTTTTCATCCTCCCTAACAGAGAGGATTGTTGAACAAATAATCCTTAGGATTTAAATTAGTACAACAATCATAACAATTGTTAGTAGTATTATTATTGAATCCAAGTTTCGTCAACATTATTATCCAGATAGTCCATTAACAATTTAAGATAGCGGAATAATCCTAACGCTTTACTATGATTATGTAAGACATAAGCAAAAAGTGGATAATAATAGTAACAATAATAATAATAATGATAGTAACAATGGAAAGGTATATCCAATATCAGCTTTTCAAAATTCATGCCATTTAAACCCCACGTTTAACATTAGGCGATTGTAATTTCATTGAGATTTCAAATCAGTCAGATGAAAATGAATTACAAAAGGGTATGTGAATAAAAGTGAACATTAACATTTTTGAGAAAAAAAAAGAAATTAGTCCTGAAGGTTGGTTATAATTTATACCCAATAAAAAGTTGGGCTTATAACTAATGTAGAGTAATATTCAGAGTGTATTAGTAGTAGTTAAATAAGGTCTTATAACAACTTGTCTTCTACAAATTTAATCCAATAAGCAAGGAGTCAATGTTGTTAATCTCATTGGTTATTTCGTAAGATGCCTTGGATAGCATAGGCATATTATGATATTAAAAATTACCAATGACAAGTGACTTCTTAAAAAAATTACTAATGATTTATATTTTTAAGGATTAGAAATACAAGCCAAAAAGATTTAAGTAAAATATGATCTTTTTGATTACATTCAAAATGTGTCAATAAACGACACCTAATACAAGCAACAACATTAAAAACTATACCCGTCGAACTATCGTAGATCATCAGTCCAGTGGATAACGCTCTGGCTTTTGAATCAATCGGTTTCGAACTCGAGTTCTAATGGGAAGTAAATACATCTAGCTGATGAGACCCAAATGGGAGGAGACGCGCGTTTCATCTTAGAACCAATCAAGAGACAAAAAACTATTGGAAAGGTCCTAACAGAGTTACCACCACAATCAAATTTCCTGCTCGTTACAATACAATACTCGGAGCAATATGCATTTGTAAATATACGCTTAATACATTGTCCTGAAATTGATTTTGTCATAAGTTGGTATGAGTAACCTGTTTCGCATTGTTGTAATAAGGATTGGTGAAATTTTGAGATTAGTTGATGTAAATGACATGGGAAGTAAGTCACAATGCACGTATGGTGTGAATGAACTGTTGATTGGTTCACTACTTAGTACAATAGATGCATGACCCTCGTAAGGGTCTGATAGTATGCGGTACAGAATAAACACTCACTTGATACAATCCATTACTGCGATAATGATAACAATAAACTCAATAAAAAGTGGGATTATAGAAGGCAGGAATTTATCCATTTTTAAAGGATAGATCCCATTAAAACACTAGTGCTGTGTTATCTAATAGGATTTATCATACATTTCATATAAACCTGTAAGCCTCTTCGACTCACTAGCTGGTTATTAACAGACTTATGATGGGGTGTATCTACAACCTCGATGGAACTAATGGTCCCTATGAGATTCCAACACGTGTCACTCATCGCTACAGTAAGAGACATTACCACTGAGTTATTCAGGTCGCAACTGACCTCCAGTAGTACTATATCACACACAGTGATTGGTAACTGAAGAGTAATCCATTTCATGTTGTTTAGTCCTGAGTGCTGATCAGATTTTATCAATCATTTCACAACGTTAACACCAAATTAGGGGAACTGACCATTGCGCAGCAAAGAGCGGATACCTGGTAATGAGTAACGACGATACGATGAAACCATTATCATTTGAATAGAGCAAGAACTTTATAGCATTTGTTACATCGCTAGTGACGTAACACACGTTATCTAACCTCGTGTTTAATGATGGGTAAAAAACTGCCAGTTACGTCATCGGAGTTTCCTGAACAGCGGTAATAATCAGTGTTTGTTGGGGATGCACAATCTCTAAAATAAACTAACTTATAGTGTGTATTTATCACGGTAAAACACAAACCTTACTTTCGTGCCCTTTTTGCTCAATGCAATATTACTCATTTTTACCGCGGTCTAGAATACTTAGTGCTGATTCGTTCATTTTACAGTTTCAATGTTATTTCGTTTTCCCTGGCCAAGACTACTTAAACGACTGAATTTTCAGCTATAGGGACGCTTTGGTTGAAGTAAATATGCTTTCAATCCGTTGTCTTATTCTTCTGATGTCAGCTGAATATCGAGTTGAAAAATCATTGTTCTATCGTTAGTCATATCTCGCCGAAACATTATATCGTTATATATACCGCAGATGATAAAATTTATTGCCATAAAGTGCACTAATTCCTGTCAATTTCTCCGCATGTTTTCACATCCTGTTGATGTTTACCCTTCTCTTAAGAGACTGCATATACGTGTCAAAGGAAAATACGGTCATTGAGTTTGCAAACACTAGTGAGCTCGTCGTCAAAATGCCAACTGATTGAAACTCAGTCAGACAACCTAGATTGTTCTTCAAATGCACTCATCAACACAGAGTAGCAACAGAGTTAATCAAGTGATGCTATCTTGAGTACTCTAACTACTCATCTGTTTGTTCAATCCATTCATCTAAACAACGTCCAAAGCGATAGGTACTTGGTTTGAATCCAAGCGGGAACAACAAACATTGGGTGCAGGTAACTCCAACTGACGAGTCCCAAACAGGACGGAAAGCGCAAGTTGGATTCCACCATCTCCCAACAGAAGTCGAGCAATCCGATCCGGTATAGCAACGGGAGACTACAAGTACCAAACAACAGTGATGATGCATGGCAGTGTAATACATGGAACACGTTAAGGTGGCCCGATGATGATGATCAGACGAACGCCTCTTCACCATATATACTCGATAAAAACGTTGAGGGATCCGTATAAAAAGCATATTTACCAAAATAATTTGTCGCTTGTTTTCAGTAACTCAGCAAAGAGTATGTATTACAGCCAACGAGTTAAACTTGATAGACAAGAGGTTGTTATCGTAGCTCAGTACTCTAATCGAAAATATATCGACATCTGAGTCCACAGAAGCCTGGTTCGAGTCTTGTTCAAAGTATCAACACCCAATGCAAAGCATTTAGATTTGTCAGAACTTTTTAATCAGGATAAAACAAATATCCTCGAATTTGTCTTGCTACATGTAATTTGGTAAATGTTAGATTTGAAAGACAAACCAACGGTAATCGTAATGAAATAACTAGCAGTCATGAGTAGTAACATTTGCTTTGGGATTAACTACCCAAACAGAGTTTCAAAACAATAAAGTATTCATTTTAAAGTGAAAAATTAGCGGTATAAATGCATAATTTGTGCTACGTTTTCCTTGCTGTCATTTCTGTACACTAACATTTTTATTTGTGTCGGATATCGGTAATATATGTAAACAGTTGAAACATACACCATTATTAGTTAAAAATTACATGAGGAATATGTAACACACTAAGAATAATGAACATAACAGAATTCTTAGTTAAAGGACGCCAAAAAACAGCCTATTTGTATATACAGTTCAGAAATGTGACCATTATATAAGAGCTGGTTTTAATTACAAGACAATAAATATCATAATCTAAGTAACAAATCTGCCGCCAAAAACATTAATAACTGACTAATATTTATAGGGGAGAGATAACTACTAACGTTCGCATGTTAGGTGTCTACGGTACTGGAAAAAAACTGAATGTATATGAAATATAGGTATTATCGTAACAAAATCTTTTCAGAGGATTCTAACGGAAAAACAAAGATTACCATATTCCAGATTTACAAATCGTTCATAGTTATGCACCCTTATGATTGCACGATGATAATAAGCAAAACCACACTTTATAAACGATGAAGAAGTAAGCAAACAGTTTCTTTCAGAACAGTATATGAAATAGTAGTACCATAAACCCAGAAAGATCAGTTAGAGTGTGGCAAGATTATGAACAATATATACGATGTTGGAAGGGAACAGATACCTAAGAACACAGCTATGCTGTTCACTAGAGAGGAGTGGAATAGTAGTTAGGTATTTTGCTTGGGTAACCAGCGTTTCGACTAGTGCTGCTTCTCTAATTTGTGAAGAAAAGCTTGATAAGGGCTAACCTTAGCATTCAACATTCCCAAAATGGCTGTTAGACTGACATAAGTCGAGTATACAGTGTGCTTTGCGTTCACTTAAAACTAATCTACTTCCGTTTCAAAAACCTCAAGAACACTTCCATTTTCATGTTATGGGCAAGTCATGAAGTCTCAAGAACCGGTGTGCTTCAAATAGAGACCTCTTGCCGAAAACTAAAGCCACTTATATCAGTTTCCAAAGGACGAATACCATTTCTATTCTCTGTAATACGTGACTAATGATCCAACAAGGTAACTTTGAGGACTAATACTCTTCTTTGATAGTGTGAAAATCAAATAAGATGACTACAAATTAAAATGGTACAAGAATACCGACGTTTGTGTCAAACAAAACTCAGGAACTTCACCAGATTGAAGAATATACCTGAAGAACTTATTCAACAGATGCGATCCTTGTGACGTATGATAAACTAACATATGCGAAAATGGAGCGTTTGCTAAAGAATATTTGTGATACAAAATCTAAGTAATTTGGTGGTGTTAGCGCCTTAGTCAGTTATAACATACTTTACATTTATAACTGTTATTAGTTGGAGAAGTGTGAAAAACTCAGAAAGAAGCTTCTCTTTGAGTTCAGTTTACAGAAGTGTATCTCATAGTCCTAAGAGGTTTCTCGGAGAACACAAAGAAGTTAGATTATGACATAACATAAATACTTCCTATTTTTACCAATGAGTGGCTGTTATCTCTGCCGTTTAAGCCACTGGATTCTCGGTAGAGGACGGTGAGTGAAGAACGAAACGAAAAGATGATCCTGTCATAACAAACTGGAAAATGCTGAATACTCTATTCTGACCTAAACATGATGTGATTGACTCAAAGTTTGAATCCTAGACTTCGACTCAAAAGTGGTCAGTAAGGGACAAAAGACTAGTTGAACACGCAAAAACCACCACATTTCCATCTACTTCTGGATTGTGAATGTTCCTTGTTTATTACTGGCTACCAGTGGAGTACAGAATGTGCTTTTCATAGTGTCGAACTCGTCAAATGGATATGTCTGAATCCTAGTGAGTGATGGTGTTTCCAGTCGGACAAACACTCATCACCCGAAATTTCGAATGTCAGAACATTATCCACTAGGCTACTAAGTTACGGGGGACACACAAGAAGTGGCTATCGTAACTCGCTGACCTAGTGGGTAACCCTCTGGTTTTCGAAGTGATCGGCCCCGGACTCAAGACTAAATGAGAATAACATCACTCACTGATTGGCAGGCACATCCAGCGGACGAGTCCCAAACGGCACGAAACGCTCGTTCTGGATTCCACTGCTAGCCACTACCCATCATTAATATAAAAAGGATATTAGTTTGGTTGTATTTTCAGTAAGCATAGGGATCTAATAATGACTCATTTGAGTTCTTGTAAGACTAAGCAATACTAGAGTACGACTATTGATAAATGCGTCATGAACGATGTTCATGTTTAGCGTAAACTGACAATGACCACTTAGTGACTATTAGTTAAGAATATAAATCGTGTTGACAAGTAATCAATTTCTTGAAACAGAAGTTATGCATCAGCTTTCAAGGTGATGCAACACAGTTATATAGATTTAAATCGGTACATGTGCAGAAAAAAACACTTCGGTATCACCAAATAAGAATCAGGTGACAGATATCCAGACTAAAGAGTTTTCTACACACGAGAATATCCGTTGAAATGTTTAGAAAAACCAATCGTCATGGTTACCAACTTCATGAAAGCATTACTGAACCTGGAATGAGAAATCGTAGCCTCTTTATCATAATGGGAGTGACACGAATGATGTCCACGTTATGTAACGAACCGGATCTAGCTGAAAATGACTGCCACTGAGCTTCAATGGGACGATTTTCTAACCGATGAGTTTATGACGGATGTCATAAATGCATGCAGTAAGCAAAGTTCGCTTGTCCTTCAGATATAGCGTAATATTAATATTTAGTGATTTACGGGTCTGCGGTTTACTTTTCCAGTTATGACAAACTTGGTTAGAAAATTTATTCAAGCATAAGAAAATAAAGTTTAACAAAAACAATGATCGCAGGAGATTCCAAATCAATGTTGAATAGAATTCACTATCAACAGACAACGGGAGCATAGTCACGGAAGTGGTTATTAGTTACTTTTTGTAAGTGATCATTTAAGTCTATATGTCACTGGGCTGCAGGGTATTTTTGTCTATTCAGTATTTAAACATAGTACTAACTTAATATTCTGAATTACGGTGAGGCAATGTGACTGGTCACACTTCACATCAAGGTAGAAAGCAACACGAGGTAAGACAAAGAAATGGAAATGGTATAATCAATGTCGCAGAAAGCCATACAACAAAAGAGAAGATAGAACAAATAATGAATTGTAATGTGGTGATTAGTACGGAGTTAAGCAAGATGCATATGCACCACTAGGATCGATCCTCAGTCCTGCAGCTTGAAATCTAACCGTCAGGCACATCAGTTCACCCCCACCCCCCCTCGCACATACACACACACACACACACACAAGAAGCATTCATTTACGCACACGATTCCGAGACTGACCTGATTTCATGCATCAGTTTGGTTACTTGATTTTGATCCACGATCCTAGTTCAGGTAACATTGTGGTTTAACAGTAAGTAGTAAGACAAGATAATGACTGTACCAATTGAAAAAATAGTGTGAATGATACTTGTGGCAAGAGTGAATTATAACTTCCTAATAATCACAACTGAATACATGCTTATTATTTGAAGAATTGACCTGATAACCAAAAATAAACGACCTTCGAACTATCACTTTGAACTTTAAAGCGGTGTCGTTCTACTCGACTATTGCTGAACAGCATGTGGTCTGTTTAATAACCTCACCACTTCTAGTCCGCTAGACACCAGTAAACAAAATACGACTGAGATCTATAAAAGTCATTCGTATGCTCTAATATCCGTATTCGAAAGTTGATCCCATGATCACTTTACCATTTACGAGAATCAACTGTTGAGTATATTTCAGCTTCCTTACGTGCCAGGAAGAAAATGCATAATGTGGTCTATTATTTCTCATATTGAATGGAAAAGTAAGTTAGGTAATAGGCAATTTTTCCCCGATGTTAGGCAGATATTTATACTGACTAATAAAGGACCATCTATACTTTATCATGGCTAGTAAAACAAACGAGGTTATTCTGTGGAGACTGTATGGGCAAGTATATTCCATAGGAATCTTTGACATTCGTTGGGGAAATAAGCCTCAATCAGCTTCATTTAGAATCGACATATATCACAGAGGATATTTCAGTAGAATATATGGAATGAAAACGCATGATGGGTATTTAAGTATCAGAAACAGTATCAAAAATATTCTGATATTCTTACTGGTCCTTGATCCTACATTTCTCATCAGCAGGCTTCTGAATATCAGGCTAGAGTTTATTTTAAGTGGAGCTACACATGGAAATAAACTGTGGCTCCTACATAGACATTTATAGTGATGATTGCAATGAATGTCAGAGTTCATTCGAATATGTTTATACTAAGTTCCATCATCACATCCTGTCCTTAAAACAACACCGAACATTAGGCTAGTTTATCTGATATAGAACAGCACTCTACCATAGTGCCCAATTTAGAGGCTCATACTGGTAAATACTGGAGATTATTGATAGTAATTGACAGAGCATTGATTTAGTTATGTATGTAGACTGAGTGAGAAAGATATTGTCCAACTGAACTATCAGTACTCATAAACAAATGGCATATTCCGACTGCTTACATTCTACAAGTAAAGGAACTTTGTAAATGAGTAACTCATGAGACGATGAGTAACAAGTCTGAATCTAAATACGAATAAAACACACAAGAGCTGAACATGAGTGCAACACATCCCAAGCTGTCTACTTAGGGAAATATCAATTAATGTTAATGTGACTCGGTGGCCTAGTGGACAAAGCCCTGGCGTTTGAAGTGATAGGTTCCCAGTTCGAGTCTCAGGGAGAACTAGGAGGTAGGTACCTCCAGCTGACGAGTCACAAGTAGGACCAAACGTACGTCTTGGAATCCACTGTTAGGGACTACCCATCATTAAGATATGAATTGAATTGAGTTGATCACTTTGAAGAATAAAATGCCAATCATTTGCTAATCAATTAATGCGTAATGGGCATTTTTAACTCACTGTCCCATATCAATGGGCTGAAGTATTTCTTTCATAACAGATCTAGATTTATTGTTCAATCAAGGGATAACTTGTCACAATAAACACAACAAAGATCGACGGTTCACTTTTAACACAGTATAATCGATTTCACATGAAGTCGAAGCTTTATAAAACAAATTAACCACTCAAAATAATGTACTTACCATGATAGCGTTTGATGGGCGAAAACATAAATACCAAATTGTAGGATACCGTAGACAAGATACAGCCTCACTATCAAATGATCCTTTAACAGGCTTTTATGTGCTCTGACTAACCAAGGTGCTCGATTGGCCTTCAAAATGTCCGACTATGCATATAACCAATCAAAAAGTCAAAATAATCTCTGATCTGTCCTTCAAGTACAAAGAGACATTTTTCTCATCGAGTGGCTATTATGAGTCATCTACATATCAAGCAATTAGATCACCCAATCAAATCATGGAAAGATGTAAGCAGTAATCACGTGAACCATAGTGTTTCGAAAACAGGGACAAGGGTATGATAACATGTGTCTGACTATCTGTGTATCACGGTACAAAATGAGACCAGTTTGCGAATAGTCGAAGTGCCGAGGAGACAAAAGGCGGATTTTTGAGTATTGCCTTACTGGTTTAAGGGCCACTTTAACTACTGAAATAATCAGTCAGATTTCAGTATTTTGACTGGGATGGTAATTTTTTATAAAATATGGAAACACAATTGGGGATGACTTTAAAGGCCACCCTAGCGACGATCTAAATAACCAATTATGTTTTTCCATTTGAGCTGGGACGGCAGATTTTCATAGTGTTCTAAGTGGTTATTTCAGTTGTTGTTAGGGTGGTCTCTAAAGTCACTTTTTAAGTTGAACCTTTATGCATAAACATTTTTAAAAAACTTTAAAATACATTGTATACTAATATAAGAGTAAAACTTGGGCACTGTGGTCAATTGTAATTCCATTTTAGTTTGTTTATTAGAAATATCACACAGTGAAACAGTAGCATTTACTGGATAACGTTTCGGACATAATTTCTTGTCCATATTCATATCAGGTAACTCCACAACTTCGAGACAGACTTTATATATTCCTAATTTACTCTCCTCTCTCAATGTCAGTGAGACTGTTCAGAAATTGATATAGTGACTCAATATATTTACCTTAAGGATATCGAATATGATAAGTGGTTAAGTCTTGAATACAAACCCAATAAGCGTTAAATACTAATTCGTTGAAATAAAAGATATTTCATTCACAGCAGCTGTTTGGCTACCTACGGCATTCAATAAACTTTCCTCATAGGTAAATGATGCCAAACCGATGTAGAAATAGTATGTATTTGTAAAAATCTAAGCACTCCATGACTCAGTAAATATAGTCTCAAATCTTTTGACTTGTAGACAAGTAGAGGATACTGAATAGAACTTTACACAGAAATACTCCGGTTGAAGTTTTCACACTGCATAACAGCCCTCAAAGAAAAAGTTGGTGGAAAAGTATGATCCCGAGGTAAACAAAGTGTTCAAGAGATGAGAGAGTAAGTTGATAAAAGCTAATGAAAATGTTCAATTGGCATAGTGATTGAATAAATAGAGTTTCCAGTTACCATTAACATTTTCTTAATGGTAATATCTTTCTCTTGAGGAGACTGTAAGTCAATTATCTCAAACGACTCAAATTCGTTTGACCTGTATACTAAGTGATTCCCTGTGAGTTTTTAGCATATTAATATAAACATACACAATCCTGTTCTTACAAATATTGGCTACCTTTTTACTCAAAGTTCCTTCGTTAATAATCATATGGAGACAATTTTCATCTGTAACTGACTTCATTACTGCTGAGTATACGTAGACGTTTGCATTACAAGGAATAGTATGGAAAACTTCATCTCTGCCTATGCTTTATGTAACAGGAGAGATGCACCCCCTGTCACAAGTTCCCACACCTGAAATCAATTAAATGAGACCGAAAATGAATCTTTCAACTAGCTTCAAGAGAAGTGAATGGATTAAGTTCGTAGTAGTATATATTGGAAGCAGCCAGATGCTGATATGGTATAAGTTTTTTTTATGCCGTCGGAGTTCAGTTAGAAGTAAAGAAGCGATTTAAAGTTATGAAAAATGTCTTCATGATGATTTTGCACCAATAATTTCGTTTCGATGGTGACTGTATTAAGAATTTTTCATTCTACATTCAGGCTGCTTCAATATTTAGTGATATCTTATGTTAGCTCATGAATTAAGAGGAACCACAATCAGTAAAAGGGATTCACAGTCCATGCATGTTGATAGTAACTTCACTCACCTCTGTAGCATTACAGTTTGCATTACTGTCAACATAAACTAAACGTTATTTTCTCGATATTCCAGTCGGTGTTCACTTTACGGTTCACGAATGAAAACTCTATCCGGTCATCTTCTAAAAACGCACACACACACACACACATGTGATTCCTAACAGACTGGTTACATCAACAACTAGTAGCATATTTGCAACAACAGAAAGCTGGACAATAGAGACTCAATGGTAGTTGTTGGTGAATTCTCTGGTTCTCTAACATAACAAAATCATTGGTATATTAAATTAAAGCTTAACTATTCATCACTAAATAGAACAGCCCCTAAAGGAGTAAATGATGGTGGTTGATTGATGGGATTTGTTGTTCATGAAGACGATTTGTCATATCCTCACTAGGATCTTACATTTTAACTTTTCGTTTTCAGTATCATGTCAAACACTAGAATGTTAGTGATGAATCGGAAACATTCATTAGATAAGGTTGCCAGTATCAAAAACTCGCTGTTCTAGGAAGCTTTCTAATTACCCGCAGGTTCCCTGTAGTATCCTTTACATTGATTGGAAATAGCTTGTATGGTATGTCAACTTGGCAACTGTAGTAACCAGTCTCTTCCATATCTATCAGTAGTGATAACAAAGTGACAAGCTGCATTAACTAATACATCCACTGATAAAAATCTCAATCAAATGTGACTGATTTAAACATTAATAAGTAAGGAAAGTAGAAAATTATGGTTTGTGTCAACTGAACATTGATAAGGCTGAAATTAATAAAACTGACAGAAGCATTAGCTCAGTGTCACTTATCCCTAATGTTAGGAAACATGCTAAAGATTGTCCCAATAACGACTCTCTTACTAATAAAAAGTAACAGTCTGAGAAAAGGATATTCTTTTCGATTCGGTTTCATCACGTTCTTGTTATGATGTGGACTTACGAGAAAGAAGGAAAATACTTAACGATTGATAGTCCAAGGTTGAGAAGATTCAAACCTAGTGATTCACAAAGGGAAATCAAAAGACTGGAAATCAGATGAGTTTATAGTATCTCGAACTGAAAACGCTTATGGGTGACAATGGACTTTATTTATAGAGTCTACAGTAACCTTGAAAGACAAGGGATAATAGGTACATTTAAAGAGGAGCCAATTAGAACAATAGCGGGTCATACGAAATATGACCAGTGCGCGGGAAAAGAGCGCGAAATATACCAGTTCAAATATATATAGACAGTAAGTATGGAATATAAGGGATATAGATATCCCTAACAGTTTAATAATTATAAAATGCATTTGTACAACGTATAATCAAGCCAAGTTAGGGGTAAATACATTTTCAATATAGAATGAAATTAAAGATGTGTAAGGAAATCGATTTTTCATGAAAAATTTATCAATATTAGGATGACATATACACAGATGAGGAATGTGATGGTGAACGAAAAGAGAGGTTAATAACGAAGATAGGAATGATCCTTAGTTTACCGAGGACCAATGGAGGAATAATGTTCAGACATGATCTTTGCGAATGTAAGGTTGAGATTTGATTAGTCCTATTGCTACAGCCTTAGCTATGTTGGGTACAGGTTAGTGAGCTACCCGTAAAATTATTTAGGAATACTATGTGTGATACTGAAAGGTTTTTTAGTATCTGTGGGATGCCCTATATCTACTAGGTATACTAGGACAGAAGGTTTCACTACTTTCACTTTGCCTTTTCCAAACCAAGCCGACTAATACTCTCGTATTCAGAGACATAGGAACGGTTAAATTGATATATGCAAGATAAAGAAATGAGAATATATAAGCCGTCCTTTAGTCATGGATTGAGCATTGGTCGACTACTGGAAGAAATGCAAACCAGACAACATAAAACATCCTGTTGACTGCTCTAGCCGGGTATCGTGATAAGGGCGTCTCCTTTGAATTGTAAATGTGGAAACAAAGGCTTAATATAGGTGTAAGACTTGGGCACTATGGTAGAAGTTAATTCCACATTAGATTTGTTTATTCGATTTATAACACACAATGAGTGATATAGTATTACTTACTTGGTGATGTTTCGGGCATAAGTTATCACTGCTCATAGTCATATCAGTGTTCTCACACAACTTCTGACATCTGATTTTTATAGTCCTGTCACCTCACATTATTCGTTCCTATTGGTAGTAAACGTTTCCATATCTCTGGTATAGGTGTTGCGTCATTTCTACCACATGTGTTGTGTGTTGATTCAATGAACAAAGATTCAGTAATCAATCTCTCCCTCTCCACAACACGAATAGAAAGCAGTTCACAATCTCCATTGTGTTATCATATAAGGAATGTACATCAGAAACTTTACTTAGGATTCTCAACAAACCTGGAAATACATTGACATTTAAACCTACAAACTCACTCAGAGATAAGCTTTGTTGACTGGCCCAACGATCCGATACATCCAATTCGGTAAAATAATCTAATCTATCAAATTCCATGTAATCACTGCGAGGTCAAGTACATAGGTGAAACTAGACAGTCACGGTCACTACTCACAATAGTCGAACATGGGAGGAATGTAGTTAAATATAAAATGACACAACCCAATATAATCAATAATCTAGAAAGAGACTCGGCTATTCCAAGGCAATCATTAACACACAACCACACAATAGGATGGCTGGGATAAAACCACTGTACTCAAGTTCAATATAATTGGGTAGAGAGAGAAGGAGACACGGATTGATTATTGAATCTTTCTTCATCGAATCAACACCCAAACCAACATATGTAATAGAAATGATGCAACACCTATACTAGAGAAATGGAAAACTTGACTACTGGTAAAAACAAATAATATCAGGTGACAGGACTATAAAAACAGATTATGAAAGTAGTGTGATTACATTGATACGATTATGAGCAATGATA